CGCGCGCGCGCGCGCGCACGTACAATACACACATCCACACACACCACGTGTCACAGATGCAATGCGGGCGCGGCACAACCGATCTTAGGAACCGATTGGAATAAGCGACGGGTCGCGCCACAGCCCGCTCCGGGGAGGAAAACTCATTTGGATAAACGATTATTGTAAACGTAAATACAAAAAAAAAAGGACGAAAAGAGAACTAAGATTTCTTCTCTTCCCTCTAATCGGCTAAAAAAACGTTTCCCTGTTCCATTCGAAATCTAATAAAAACTTAATTAATTGCATGTGCAATCAATTTCTAATTTTCTTTCTTTCCCTTCTCTTTATCTCTCATTCACATACACGCACACACACGCACACACACATCCCGTGTATATATAATGTGTACATATATATAATAACTTTCCTCGTATGTATACCTATATACAAAACACTAAGTGACTCGACATGACTATATGTATTCTTTATTTCTCGTTTTCTGCTTTTCATCTCTCTCTTTCTCTCCCTGTTTCTATTTTCTTTCCTATCCTCTCGTTTCACTCCCACTCTCTTTAGTACGTATCTCATGAAAGAGAACTGATCTTCATCAGTCTCTATCTCTGTCTCGCTTTCCTCTCTTTTCAAACGACACGACGAAATCGACATTGGTAATTTCGTCGCGCGAAACTACTAAAAATTAAGTGTACAGTTCTATTACGAAATAGAACGCGTGAAGCGTATTGCATTGCCTTCCCTCGAAACGGCACGCCTTCCTTCCAGTCTCCTCTCTTCTCTAACTCTACCTGATCTCTGTGTCGGAGCCTCAGTCAACAGCCCTCCTCGAAACTAGTTGAAACGTCTAATACCTTTCGCTATTTTTCAGCCTCTCTCACGAAGATGCTCGTAAAATCATGCGTCTTCTTTATTTCCTTTATTTCCTTTTTCTCGTTTCTTTCTATTCGTTTTATTTCTTACGTTCGAGTAACATCGACCTCAAGTATTTCTCTTTCCTCTCTTAACGATGCATTCGTCGTTATTCCTGTCCTCCCTTTCATTTCAAGCTTGAAATTATCGACAGTTTAGTTTCTGTTCCTTTCTTTTTTCGGTATTTATCGATCAGCCATTAACCACACTGCAGATCAGTTTCTTTATTTCTTTTCCAGATTAACGCGAAATGATCCGATCAAAAGCTGACATTATCGTGAAAGTTTCCGAACGTTTTATTATCGTATATACAGCAACAACATGTTGCATCATAATTGCGTGACTGCTACGAGGGGGAAGCGAAAATGGAGCACACGCTCGTGCTTTCATGTAACCCTGTTTCATGCAACCTAAATAAACATGTCTAGCCTTTCTTCCTTTGCCAAGTTTCTTTCCTATAAAAAGAGAATCTAATTTGCAAGGAGTTCAA